ATATTTTAATATTATTAAAAAGTAATAAAAAAGAAATTTAACTAATTAATTTATATATATATAATTAGTTAGCAATACTATTTATAAAAAATAAAACTAACTATTTTAAAATAAAGTATATCTATCTATAATATTATTATATTTAAAAGTAAATTAAGAAAAAAGACTTAAAAATTATTTAAATTCTATTAAAATAATAAGTTACTAATATTTTAATAAAACTATTGAGAAAAAAGGAATTTAAAGATAGCTAAGATAAGCTAAGCTTAGTTTTTATAACTTATAATATTATAAGCGATAGATAGAATCAAGTTTAAAAGGGAGTATTAAGTATTATATAAGTTACGTAAATTATATAGATAAATAACACCTTATAAACATGATACTTGCTCCTTTAAGTATATAAGAAATCGTGGACTATATAATAATCGTCCTCCTATATATAGAATGATTCCTTAACCTAACAACAATAAGAATATGATTATTAAATCATCTTAAATCTATTACAAGATCGCCTATCCTTTGTCCCCGAAAAGAGCCTAAGCCTAGGAGACTTAAGGAAAGAGAATGCTACCAATTGTGGAGCACACGCTGCTCTCAGATTGCTTCGCAGGACATGCAACCCTTCGTCTTCCTGCCCATCCTTCTAACAACATAGTCGGTGTCATGTGAGTTGCAGCAAAAACGTGATACAGCAGCGAGTCTCATTAGGTTAAGGGGCATTGATAGATGCAAAGCCTATTCACCTACTACCTTGAGCCCCAACGAGGCTCCACTAAAGATTTTCAACGGCTTAGCGGGGATTGCGCCTTCCAGCTGCTATCCGTTATCACAGCTCATACTCGTCTGTCCACTTCCATGTACGCGTTGCAACCCCTCGCTATCTTGCTTCTGCAAGCATGCATTTCAAAAGCGTAAACCCGGCCTTAATAATACTCTCTTTAGAACTTATTATAAGAGCAGAAAAGACGTCGCCTTGTTGAAGCGCTGTGCCTCTGCCCTGACGACCAATAGCCCTACATAACGCATTGCCGGGTCGACGTAGTATTGTTACACCTCGACCATCCGAAGTCTATCGCCTCTGTTCCCACTATTCACCTTGATGTCCATTTGATTTGCTAGGTCCGCACCAATTCCGTTATCTCGATGACTGGTCCCTGACCAGCTGTTCGTACGTTCAAGGTTTGCTGGTACTGCCCAAGCCATCTTGTCAGACTCCGAACCCTGATCGATAAATAAAGCTCTAGTCTTGTACCTTTAACCATCGCTCTCTTGTCCTCAGCACTTTTTCTGAACGTCAATTCCTAGTCCGCGAACACTGCAGCACATGTACAGTTCTTGGAGGAATGACGAGGGAACGACGAGAAAGGGTGAAGGCCCGAGAGCTGATTAACAGAGCTGATTTTGTAACTAGAGGCAATGAACACCAAAAAAAGGAAAAGTCAGGAGTACATTAACGTATGAGAAACAGGATTAACATGGACGAGAATATATGCAGCATTCGAACATGGAGTATGCTAGGGCCAAGTCTCCTTGTGCTGCACGTTCATCGTGTTATGATATGGGGCTCCTTAAAGCATGACGAGCGCCTACTGAAAATCGGGAAAGTTAAAAGGGAGAAGAATATAAGACGAAGTAATCTCTACGTATTGGCGATGCATAGGGGATGCACAAAAGACCTTTACAATGGACCTCGACAAAGAAAATGAACTGCTGGACTACGTAAGACGGGTTTATCCATAGAACATAGCGAGTCTTCACGAGTCCCGAACCGCCAATTTCTAGTGAAGACCCGATATGGATAGTATTTAGTTAGGTATGCCCCCCCTCTCTATTTTCTGTTGGGATTTAAATTAAAGATACGCTTTTAGCAAGCTATGCCTCTAGGCTTATAATATATTAGTATTACTACTAGGCTAAAAGATTTAAATAATTTAGAAACTTATAATATTAATATATATTTAATAACTATTTAGGTTTTTTAAATTAGGAATAAAAGATATAATAAATTATATTATTTATTAAATTAATAGTCTTTTAAACCTAAGTATAATATTATAAAAAGTTATAAATCTAATAATAGCTATATAAGCCTAGAGTATAAGAATTTAGAAAACTTATTATCTTAAGTATTTATATAAATTAAAATATAATTCTTTTCTTAATAATATTATATAATAACTTTTAAGTTAACTATATCCTTTTATTAGTATAGTTCTAAAGTATATATATATATATATAGAAATAAGAAATAAAATTATATATTAAATTACTTAAATATAAAAGTTTATTTAAATTAAATAAAATATATATATAATAAAATATTATTAAAATTAAATATATTTATAATTTAAATAAATTTTATTATTATATTTTTAATAATAACTTAATCTTCTTTAGTTTTATATTTATTATATATATTAGCTAAGAAACTTTTATTATAAAGAATTATTATTAACTTTATATTTAATATACTTAAATCTCTTTTCTATAAACTAAACTCTTATAAATTCTTATTATATTCTTATATAAAAATAATTAATAAGTTATTTATATAAATACTTTATTATTATTAAAATTTTAAATTTTAAATTCTCTATTATATTGAATTTAAAATAAAAAATATAAATAAGTTTACTAAGTTATATTTAAAAATTTAAGTTACAATTATTAATAAAGTTATAGTTTTATAAAACTTTTTAATTAAAAATAAATATTAATTAAAAACTTAATTTTTTTACTAGTTAATAAAGTTTTATATTAATAGCTAAGTTAAAGTCTATATAAATAATATTAAAATTATATTTATATAAGTTTTTATTAATATTATTTAATAAGACTATAAAAATATTAGAAAATAAAATAATATAATATAATATTAATTTAATATATATATTTTTTCTTAGAAGTTAAAAAGTATTTATTTATCTATTATAAATAAAGAAAATCTTAAAACTTAACTTAAATATTATATTAATAATAGTATTAAATTTATTTTAATAAATTTATTTATAAATATATATTTTAAATAAATTAAATTAATAATATTATAATAATATTCCTAAAGTTTTTCTTAAATAATATAAAATATTATTAAATAAATAGTAATATATATATATTATTAAAAAGAAATAAAAAGAGTAAATAATATAAAATACCTTAATATAATATATTTAAATATTAAAATTATATTCTTATAATTAGGTTTTACTAGGCAAACTAATTATTATTATTACTCTAAAGATAGCAAATAGCCAAATATCCATATGGCCTACGCTAGTTAGGGGGCGGCTTGGCATTTAGATATGCTAATAAAAGCGGCATGCTTCGGGCGGATTATTGGCCCGCGGCCATCATCAACCTTACATTCTTCACCCTGTCTGCCCAAGAAATCGGAATACAATCATGCCTAGATCATTGCTGCAGAGTGGGAGCGCATTCGCTCTTACCAACGACAGCGGCGTTGCGTGAAGAAAGCGTCGAGTCTGTTGCTGTCTAAACGAACTCAAAAGATTGGCGAAAGTGCAATCCAGAAAACAATTATGGTGCGCTTGAGTTTGATGGAACGACTCAATACATACTGCGTATTACCAAGGTTACCCTGTGACCTCAATCTACAATGACTTGGTAGACGAGAGGCATAGCTGAAAAGCCGAACTTGTTTTGTCACTACGAAGATGACTTTAATGAAGAGAATCCGTCTAGTTGAAATCAAAAGTCACCCGCTGAATACATGAGCAAACCGCTGACCCGCCGTAGTGGGCTTCAGCACTAATTTGTCTGGCTTGTCACGGTGTTTGAATGGAAGCACAGTTCTTGGAGGTCACGTACCAAGGCTGGTCAACTGCTTAAGAGTCGGACAATGTAGAAAAGGGACGCGGCCATACAGAGCAGTGCGGTTCCTTGCTCGCTATGGTTGTACTCGAACACCCTGTTGATCCATCATTCATCCTGACCACGCAGTCACTCATAGAAGACCTAGGTCACTCACGAATAGAGCTTACTAGGGCGAGATGACGTCACTGAGGAACTGTCTAACCGCATTTGAAAATATGGCTTCTTCCATCGAGATGTTGATTCTACTCTCAAGGGGTGAACGCCGCTCTTAAGGATTAACGGGGTTCTAGGCCTATACCATCGCTCTTACTGTATTGCTAGCGTCCCGCACGAGTGACAAAATGCGAAGGTCACTTCGGAAGTTTTACCCTTATCGTGGCTAGAAGCTTAGAGCTAGCAGGGTGCCAGTCTAGACTGAACACTAGTCGAACTGTTCGTCCTGTTGTGGCCAGCCGCGGGATCTCAGTTCTCTTCATCAATTGGGCGGATCCTGGTGGGACTAATGCGGGGATGGCAGCGGGGGCCAAACGGTACGTTGATCATCTCCTGATGATCTCCCTTCAGATAAGACTGCTACCCAATTGTGATAGACCTAAGCCCGCTTTCTCGTCACACTCAGCACGCCACAAGAACGCCACATTTCCTAAATGGAACAACAGCGGGATAGATCATCCTTACAGCCTTCTACCCCGCTCCTGGAAAGGGAACAGTGGCCAAAAAGATGCCCATGGCAGTGGTGATCTCCACACAGAAGACGCTTTGATCCCTTCTTAAGTCCAATTTGGGTTTGGAGGGCAGCCTTGCAACCCAGTGAGCTTCAATGAGCTACATTTCCGCCAATTCCAGCTCCGTGACTGGGATTGATCGTCACTCAAGGACATGGCACATTACGCCTTCAGCTACCTCTAAGCCAGAACAAGAAAGCCACGGGTACTGTGGGTAATACGGAGTGGAAATGGTGGCTTGACCTGTCTCAGCTGAATGGTCTGGCACAAGGCTTGCCAGAGATTCCTTGGAGCTCGACAACGCCTGTGGTCGACTGTATATAGATACCTACCCACTTGTTAGACTCTATGCCTTGTTCTTTGGACCGACCAAACTGTCATTCTTCAAGACCCTGATAAAATATATCATCGAATTAAGCATTGCTGTAATTGCCTCAAATGTCCTACTATCTTCCACCCATATCTGAGATCCCGGAGTCTCGCCATGCAGCCGTAGGTGCATGGTTCCTGGGTCCAAGAGCCGAGAACTTCTCGTATCTTGAAAATGTCTTCAAGTATATCCTCGAGCAGCAAAGGGATACCCGAGAGAATCTGTTCCCGAAGGATCAGGCCTTCATTACCGCTGAAATGAAGGAAAGCCCCTTGTACAAGGCTCAGATCGATCAATTGCAGGTCAATCTATTTGCTATCACCAAGGAGCTCAACCGTCATGCTGTACCTTTCTGGTCCGCGCGATACAACGCTCACATGTCTATGGAGAATTCTATGCCTGCCGTCATTGGGTATCTTACTGGCCTCCTCCACAATCAGAATAATGTCGCGACTGAAGCAAGTCCTTTCACGACTCTTCTTGAGAACGAGGTTGGGATAGACTTATGTAATATGCTGGGTTACGACACGAATAAGGATAACGTTGCGCGTGCTTGGGGTCATATCACATCCGTAAGTATTCCTTACTTGAGCATTCATCACTCAACGAGCACCAGCTTACGGATAAGTAGGGAGGCTCTGTTGCCAACTTGGAATCCATTTGGGCGGGTAAATAGCTTGAGAGCGTCTCCATCTCCCAAGGGTCACTGACTTTATGTAGCGCGCAATCTGAAATTCTATCCGCTTTCACTGTTTCTTACAATCGAGGACAAGAAGAGTACCTTGCACTTCTTGGACAATCCTTTCGGAGCGACCCAGCCTTTTGAGATCGACCTAAGCTCTGGCAAGAAAAAGCTCTTCATGCATTGCACAACTTGGGAGCTTCTCAATCTCAAACCCTCTACGGTTCTGGGTATCCCGCAACAGCTCTCTGATCAATATGGCGTTTCTCAAACAGCATTGGCTGCGGCCATGAAACCTTACTCGATCCAGACTGTGGGGAAAGACTTTCTGGAGAAGAAATTCCACGTCAACAATCCTGCCCAATTCTTTGTGGGAACGACGAAGCACTATTCGTGGCCGAAGGGAGCGGGTAAGGAAAGCTGCTGGCATGAAATTGACCCACGACTGACTTCACAACAGCTATTGCTGGCATCGGCTCTGGACAGATTGTCGATGTTCCCGTGGACTTACGAGCTCGTATGGATCCAGAAAAACTTCGAGAGATGCTGGAGAAAGCCATCGCTAATGAGCAGCCAATCTATGCTGTCATTGCCATCATCGGATCAACTGAACAAGGAGCAGTTGATCCGCTGGCAAAGATCTTATCCCTCCGCACGGATTTTGAAAAGCGAGGCCTATCCTTCGTGGTTCACTGCGACGGTGCCTGGGGGGTTACTTTGCCTCTATGCTCAGGGAACAAAGCCCGGTAGGCGTACCCAAAGGCCAATCGAGCTATGTCCCGACCCTTGCGCTTTCGCCATACACTGAGGAGCAACTTCGAGCATATAAAGACGCTGATAGTATCACCATTGACCCTCACAAGTATGGAAGCAGATATCTAGATGCCTCTTCGCTGACGAAATTAGGTCCGGTTATTGCCCTTATCCTGCCGGCGGACTTTGCTACCGTGACGGTAGAATGCGATATCTTGTCACATGGACTAGTCCCGTGGTTTTCCATCAAGGGGACGAAGTTGAGAGCATTGGCGTTTATGGTGTCGAAGGTAGCAAGCCGGGCGCTGCTGCAGGTACGGGATCCTCACTTCTACTGCCTCTCGCCGGCTAATCAAGGGCAGTTGGCGCCTATCTTAGCCACCGTGTCTTAGGTCTTCACAAAAACGGATATGGTACATTACTAGGGGAGGCTGTTTTTTCGTGTGCAAGGGTAAGTCCGATCAATATCTGCAATGATGTACTGATGTTCGCAGCTTTATTGCCATTGGGCCGCAATGCAGACTGAACCGATACCGTCTTCCCACGGCACCAAGGCCAAACTCATCGTCAGGCCATTGAATATGCTGCCAACAGAGGAGCAGAATGACCCTCCTTATGTTGTCGAGAATCAGAGACAATTCATCAGAGATCACATCTTATACAGAGACAATGCTGCCTTGGAAGCGGACAAGGAGGCAGTAAGACTCCTCAAGCGGCTGGGTGGTGACCTGATGATCAACGCATTTGCTTGTAATTTCGAGATAGATGGAAAGATTAACACGGATGTCGTAAGTTACGAGACCGCTGGGAAATGTTTTATCTGCTGATTTCTAAAGACGGAAGCCAATTATCTGAATACACAGATATTTCAACAGTTATCTGTCTCAGATATAAGGAAAGACATCTCAAATGTTCCGTTGCTGCTGACATCGACCAGTCTCGCCCAGTCACAGTACAAGGACTGCCTTACGCACTTCAAGAATCGGCTCGGGCTTGAAGGTGAACAGGATCTTTACATACTGATCAATGTGACAATGAGCCCATGGCCGACTACCGGAGACTTTCTTGGAGAGCTCGCAGACAAGTTCAAGGACGTTGCCCAACAGCAAATGCTAGCTACCGTCGAGCGAGACGTTCAATATCCGGACCATCATGGCTTCGTCATACAAGGTCTGGACCACATCTGCGGCGTGCATCTCCCCATGTTCAATATGGAGAATCATCGGCACCAACTCATCATCTCGTGCGACTTTCCTAAAGATATAATGGATGAATATCGACGTCGCAAAACCGCGAATCCATCGCAGTTCTTCACATTTGGGAACAAGAATCCAGCAGAGCTGCTAAAATTCATTAAGGACGGTGCTTCATTCGAAGCCACAATACAAGAAGGATTACCATCCGACAACAAGCCGATCTCCGAAAGCTTCACGGTCAGCAACGTCAAGATCCTGCTACAGCGATCTATGCACTCCAAGGATCTTGACACGCTTTATCCCGACAATATGATCTTCTACGCCTATGGTCGTGGGTCGGAGCTGCACATAGACCACCTACTGAACGTATCACCCAACATCCAACTCAACAGTGAGCGGATCAAAGTTCTCGAATCATCAGCCTTCTCGCCTCCCCTAAAAGACGTAATCAACGAACAAGGAGTCTGGCTTCGACTCACCTCAGTACACGAAAGCGCAGTGCAACCCCTGATCATGAAGCCCACAGACCCCCATACATCCTTCGCTCACCCCGGCCTCGACTTCAAACCCGGTGCCAAATTCGCCTTCGAAGCCTTCGACCCAGCCACCGCACTCCTAAACAATAACAGCCCTTCCAACCCCACCATCCGCGGCGTCCTCGAACTCGGCCCCTCCGTCTTCGCCGACACCGTTATGCTGAACGCTGACGGTGGCGGAGCCGACCACGACCACGCTTCAGCTGCAACCGTCATGGACGCGCCAGCGAATAGTTGGGCGCTCGCGGCTGAGTATCCCAACGCGGCTGCGAGCGAGGAGTTGAGGAATCAGTATCAGAGTACGGTTTTGAGAGGCTTTAGGGACAGTTGGGCTATGGCGAAAAGGGAGGAGGCCGAGAAGGTGTTGGAGAGGTATGAAGGGAAGAAGGGGGAGGAGAGCGAGGGGAAGGGGGAGGGAGAGGCACCCGATTGGTTGAAGAGATGTGTGCGGGATGGGGAGAGGGCTGAGGAGAGGAAGGGCCCGGAGTTGGTGCAGTTGTATCATACTGGGTTGCGTTGATCGGCTTGGATGGAAGGCTGAGAATGGGTTCATCGACGATTAACATATGTCAATTTACCGTATGGGCGAGGAAAGTCGAAGAGATAGGGCCTGGCAATTCTAGAAGGCAGAGAAGCCGCACTCAGTGTGTTAGGTCCTCAACGTCAAGTCTTTCAGTAACCTCAATATGTGGAGGGAATATTCGTGTGGTCAGTTTCAATTATGTATCGTTCCGACCCTCTTTCACTGTCCTTCCAAGGCTTAGAAGCAATGTTCATAACCAACTACCGTCGCGCTTGCTTTATCTGCGTCCCTTAGCCTTGTTGAGCTAAAGACTAGAGACGCCAATATAGTTCATGCCCTTTCGAGGACATGTTGGGCATTCGCTATTTATTTGCAGAAAGCTTTACAGAAGTATATAGGCGATTGCTGGACAACATTGTTGGTCTCTTTCGCATCTTAGGCTCTAAGATCTTCAATTCTTTTCCATATAGTAGTAAATCGTGCGATCGTCCGGCAATCGTTTAACAATAGCTGAGGTGATCAATGGATGTGGGAGAAAGTAAGTAAGAATGAAAGAAAAAGAGGCTTTAGCTGTCAACAAAGGGAGAGTAATGAATATCGTGTACCGAGAGCGGAAATGACATTTGGGAGGCTGAGTTCTGGATTGGACGCTGCGGAGGTGTCAGAGCCGATATCGAAGTCGATGACTTGAGTAAGAAGATTGTAGCTGGTGAGAAAGTGGTGGTGATATGGTCAGCGCGATAATAGCCTATGTGAGGAGTCAGCAGATTCAACGTTCAATTGCTGCAACAGATTACTGCTTGAAATCTCTTAGGGGGTTCTAGTTTTGCCTCCGAGGATTGGGTGACCTTCATGTCATGAGCTTCAGTCACTGACTTGAGTATATCTATAGCAAGTGCTTGGAAAGCGTTGGCCTTGTGGTCGCGACGACTTTACTATGAGTGTTCGCTCTTCTGCCGCGCCGAAAGAATCAAATCATTCGGCACTTGGTGTACTCTCGTGGGGGGTTGTTCGATCTTAGTGGCTGCGACCCGTGCAAGCGATGCAATACTTGATTCAGGACGTGCACCTAATTTCGATATCTGTTGCCTTTCCACGAGTTGTATCTACTGTGGGTGAAAGGGAAGCATTTTTTTCCTTTGATGTCGTAATCCGTGAAACTTTTGCGTTAGGATGCTTCTTTCTTTACGATATGACTAGTATACTGAATCACGCAACTGATGGCTGCAAACCCTCGAAAAGCGAATAGGGGCTGACATGTGAAGAATTCTGTCTCGTCGTATTTATAAGAATCTTTCGTGTTCGAAAACATAGCTCAAGGGCTCCAATATTCTCTAGCCTTTGCAGCCTCAGCTGACATCAATACCCCTTACCCGTCTGATCAGAAATCTAGACATTTCTTTTCGACCAACCCTAACCTACACCGACCATTTCATGCCTTGTTATGCCGTGTACTTGACGTTCAGTAGCTATTGTAATCCCCTTGTGGATGGCAGTGCAGATCGACCGCTTTGATACAGAGCAGCCATCCAACGGATCATTTTGCCTTTTACGTCGAATTATCCCCACATTTATCGCTGCACGAAAAGTTGACACGGGAGACTAATCATCTTATTGAGAGTCCAGAGGATTAACACGAACCTTATGCTATGATTTTGCGACGCAAGCAAAGATTGTGCGTCGTATGATAGTAAAGGCGCCAAGCGAAATCACAATCAAACATTTATGATTTGATAAAGATATCAGACGATATTTTCAGCTGTATCACTTTGGTTTATGTCGTGATTCCATATGGGTACCACTAGGTGTCTTAAGTTGTATTATCTCAGCGATTCTTATGCCTCAGAGCCTGTAGTTGCATCATGCGTAGCAAAGTACGCTGCTTCATTTCGTCCATCTCATATAAGTACTTCTGTATAGCTCTCTTTCTCTTTCTTTCTTTCCTCTTATTAGAGACTCCCAGAGAATATTCGACCTTTAAGATGGATTAAGACCATCTCCGAGTTCAGCTTGAACGTGACCGAATCGTAGATAAGCGTGAACGAGACCGATTCACAAATCAGCGTGCGATTCCTCCTGCTGGACCTCATCAAGATGTAAGTTGTACCGTCTTTAAGACTTCTTCGAATGCTTCTCAGCACACGTAGCCTCAGTCCGACACACTAACAGCCTAAAGCGCTAACCAGTCCAACGCCTACGCTCGCCCACACCTCCAGGACATCCGTTTGGATCATCCAACGGTCTGCATTTTCGCGTTCCTGTACAAACACAGAATCTCTCCTTTAGTTCACCTACAAGCCAACGAGTTGTGGACACATTTATTCCGCCTGGGCAATCCAACACTCTGGATATCGGGATCTCTACTGTTTCCTATCGGCTCCCGATCCTACAACATCGGCCAGCATCAAGGCCAGCGCATCGTCCACCCTCTCCTCCTCCTCCTCCTCCTCCTCCTCCACGTCGTAGGAGTAGGGGTTATAGTAGAGGCAGACGCCATCGTGAAAGGGAAACCCTTCCTGGTCCTAGACCTGAAAGCCTGGTTTCTCGAGGAAGGGATCCCGACCCTAATAATGAACGACGTAGGAGGACTCATACTTGGTATCATGGTGGGCCTATAGTGTGGTACGAAAACGCGGAACGCCATCGCCAACAACGTCGAGAACGCGAAGACCGTGAGCAAGGGCATCGCCGCCGCCGACGCATAAAAGCTGTCCTCCCCTCGAATGCGAAGAAGCAGCGCAGGATTATCAATTAATTGATATGAAGGACTTGGGAATCATTGGTAATTGAAGAAAGAGAGTTTGTGTGGCCATGTTGGGCGAGCGGCACACATGGTTGTACAATAATTCATTCTCACGGATCACGAAGGGAAATCATCATTTGAATGAAGGACAATGGATTCTACTTACCAGATGGAAAAATATGGGAATAATACTCACAACCCCAAGCACAAGTTCCTACCACCTCATACGTCTGTCTACGACTTCTGTGTAGCCCTGAAAGTTTCAATTCAGTGAAAGCCTCTTGTTCCCCGTAGACTTGATTTTCCGACTCCCTTCGCGTGTGGGAATTTTGTCGTGAAAATTGTATCAAGTGCAGGTTCATGAACGTGAAGTGGGACTGTAGAGTACCTCTTGTTGTTTCGGCGACCATGTTGAGAAGCGTGAGTCATGATCTCTCCCACGTTCAAAGGCTGTCCTCCAAACACCAAGGATAGACGTTTTGGTAAAGGGAAGGTCTGGTCCTCATGAACGACTTTGTTATTCCATCGACTTTTCCTCTTCCTCCCACATTGCGATCCACTTGGGAACACGATCATCGTAGTACTGCCAATAATCAGGCTTATAAAATGGCTCGTGCCACCACTCCTCCGGTTTCGCGAGCCTTTGTTCATAATGCTCCGGTCGATGGTCAGGACTCAATTTGAGCATTTCGGTATGCGTGAGCACTCTACCTCTTGTGAAAATATATTGAAACAAGCTGTCGGTCCCAATTACAAGAGGATGTCGTAGTATAGGAGGCTGGATTGTTACGGCTTCAATCGAGTACCAGAAATTCTGCTCATCTCTTTTGAACTCGCCGTCGTAGGGCTGGTGTATGTGTGTGTGCTTGATTTGGAAAAAGCCATGGTCAATATGATAATCCGGCGTTGACGAGAGCTTTACGTTAAAGGCGTTGAATGGGATGATCCATGATTGTTGATCACCAGTCCTCCGCTGGGGACGAAGAGGATGGTTTTTGCAGTGGTCTTCAGGCCACATCATCTCCTCTATCGTCCAGCCTCGTCGAGAGTATTCTTGTACCAACGGCCTCTCCCAGTCGTCCAACTGCTGGAGCAAGTAGCCCCTATGTTGGCAAAAGGTAGGCAAGGGGAAGATGGCGTATGCTTTGTTCCATGTGATGAAGTTGACTACGACTGTGGAATGGGAAAGATCCAAGATGGTACGCAAAGGGTGATCTGGAGTCCCAACTACTCTGATCTCGCTCTCGGTTCTAGGCGTAGTAAAATGTCGAACCTGTACTTTGTTTAGTCAACGCAAAGGACTCTAGATGTCAAGGGTGTATACTTCGAACAAATCCTCATCAAGAAGAAAAGGTTCGCATTGCTCGGACTCGCGCGGGGCCCGGTCGGTACAGGATTCAGTGCTACCTAAGTACTCGCAAAATGAATCCATTTTATGACCCCGCTCAATGTAGATATCCAAAGCTGCCTTGGGCCACGTGACTCGTTCGAAGAATTGCACTGCGAATGAGCCGGTGATAAGAGCGTCGTAGAGACCCATCTGAGAGCGAAAGATTTCAGGTTGCTGTGCAAATCGCTCCAGCCTTTTGTCGACGTTCCATAGAATAGGTAGCAAGTAAGAGTAAAGTCCAGAGAACTTCTTGCACGTCCGCGTCAGATGAATAATATCTTGAATATCGAGGAAGTCGCATAATCTGCGAAAGACTGGGTACGGGTGTCGAGAGTCAAGGAGGTTGGTGATCATCTCCGAGAATGCCGGTCGCGTCATGTCGTACATCGGACCGTTCGTTTGATATTACTCGAGAGGGTGTCTTTGAATCAAGCAAGAAGCCATTCATCAATGTGGGAAGTCTCATTAACCTTATCATTGCGACTACAAGTGGGCTGAGTCGGTATGATCAGTTCAAGAAAGTGAAGCGGTCGATGAGCCCGTTCGCCTTGCTTACGTGATCGAGGCTGTGTTCCCGCTAGGCTCTTCGGGGCGTTAGTGTCTTCATTACTAAGAACAATCTAGCCCTAAGTCTTGACCTTTCGTGCAACTACCTCACCCCCCTCACCGCATCGTCCCCATTCAAACGCGACCACAAGAAATACTGCAGGTTGAACCTCAGCGCTTTCAACATCGAACGCAGAAGGATGAACGCCTTGAAAAGAGTCATGAGAGAGCATAGACCCGCAAACAACGTGGATACAAGAGAGAAAGCAGTGGGGCGAACACACGACTCAACGGTACAGTTTGGAGAACTCGGTCGAAGTTGGCTCCACCAGTGAACGATCTCAGGCATGACTCTACGATGAGCTCCTGGCGTGCCAGACGATATGAAGAAGCGGGATACTTATGAACATCGTTATCGAAATTCGCAGAGTGAGGACGCTCATCGGCATTCACGCAATGGTGGTTCGATGGCCCTCGGTGACCTTTGCCTAGCTTGGTGCACACATGGAAGGACACTGGAGCACAAGTTTACAATTCCCTCTCCTCGAGCTGAATCTGGGACACTAAAAGATCCACGCCATTGCGACGTATCCCGAAGTCATGGACCCGTGCTCACTGCCCCGCCCTCCTCTTCGATCCTCCCAAACGAAGGCACCAAGAGCAAGATATTCAGAGCAACCCATGACGTACAACGGCCAAACCATACGTGGTCAGGCAAGAAGTGCGTACGACAAGCCAAGCTCATACTCACGAACAAACGCACTCAACACACGTTCCGAATCATGGAGCGCCTCACTGACTGCGCCGAGCGTTGCTTTAGGTGAAACAGAGCAAGCTACCGACTTTGAAGAAGGAGAGCAGAGAGTAGTGGTGAATACCGATGAGGGATGAAGACAACAAGCTGTCAATGAATACTACAGAGAGTGCTACAAGACCACAGGGTGGGGCTGCAGTGGCAGTCAGCGTGCACTTGGTAATCTTTGAACTTTGAAGAAGGACAGCAGCGTTAGGTCCTCAATGTGTGTGCGAAAGTCTCCAACGAACCCTGCAGACTCGGTCGAACAATGAAATGCGGGCAATGGCAGGAAAATAGGCTGTCAATGAATGCAACAGAAAAATAGTGACTGCCTACTCAAATCCGAAGCTCAGCTCTCCAATTCTCGTCAAGATGACAACTATGCGTGACATAGCTCCTTGATCCTACGGCACGAATGTCTCCTCCGAGGCGCATTGACCACCAATCGTTCCTCCTCTACGCACATGGCGCGCGCGCTCACCTGCCTCCTCCCTCACGTCTCTCAATAAAAATCAAGTTAAGAGAAGGATCAATCATCGGGGTACACACTACAGTTGGAGGTTAGCTGGCATGACGCACGACCATGTTCAGAAGCCTAGAATGCTGTGATGACGGGCCTGAGCGGTTGCCAGCAACAAAAGAGAAGGTCACAGGTTTTAGAGACTTCAAAAGGAGAGAGATCGTGGGACCTGACAGGTCACAACGATATAGGTGCTCGAGGTTAACGGGAGCACGATAACGTCTCGCGATCTGGCAGCCATTGTGCTGCCTATCGAAAGTCTCAGCAGTGTTCGAATCTGGATGGACTCTTTTGGCTTATGTGGAAAAAGACATGGAAAGAGAACAAAACATCCTTCACATCAAGCACACGTTCGACAAATGATGGACAGATAGTACAAAAAGTCGGTGTCCAAGCAAAATGAGCCTCAAATCGTTAGACATGCGCAACAACGCGCTGTGAACAAAATCAATTACAGGCTCACGAAGGCGGCGACGGAGATATTGCTGGTTGCCAAATTGGCCCCAATTTCGGGGTGGCGAACATGGACTTAAATTTTTGCCTCAGCCCAGGTTCAAGCGGCGCCGACGCAGCTGTCAAGGATGTGGGGGCTCATGGACTCGATGAGCGGCCATGGGCTTTATCTGGACGAAGGTTTCAGCTTGGTCAAGCCCACGCCTCTCCTCCCACTTCGCGAGTCTAGACATCGAGGAGTCCACTTGCAAAAGGGACCACCTCTCGCCGCTCTCCTCCGACGGAAGACTCAAGGGACTTAGATTTTTATACAAAGTGCTCCCAATAATTGCTTCTGCATATGCGTCAGTAGCAACCGCTAAGACCTCAGAGTTGCTGATGGAGGAGAATCTACATTACAACGGTGCAGACGTCCACGTTGGTGATCTTCATAGCGTACGCAACTGTCAACAACCACCTCAGCTCCGCAATCATTTACAACGGCTTTAACTTCGACCTGTCAAAGGTCGATCTATCGATTCCTTATTTCCTTGGGGCGCAGCAGGTCCCTTGGCAACTCCGGCAGCGTCTTGTTTGGAGGCCAACAATCAGGACCGGATACGGCGATACGCTGTACCACGCTGAGGAATGGTCAAGGTCTAATCAATCTGCACTGCCCCTTCCGAAGATCAATACAGAGCGCGACCTCCCGTCGAAGCTGGAAACGGACATGCTGATGTACGAGGAGCCCGATTACAGCAATATGATCGACATGATGATTTGGAATTGTAGACACACGGACCTGAGTCCTGCACGTCTAGATAGCTGATGAGGTCAACTTTTGCACTGAGACGTCTTCAGCATGCCAAAGAAGGAATGGCTTTATCACAGAGCCGGCAACGGCGCTAGAGCCACCTTCGATGAATTATCGAGATCAAGATGTGGCTATAGACGACCAAGAATTGCCACTGCGTGACCCTCTTCATGCCCCAACATTCACCTCAATACATCTGCATCAGCAGACATGGAATAGACGGCAAGTAGAGATGCTGGTCCCAAGCCTCCTAGTAGCGGAGGAGGTGATTACATATCAAAGCCCTGCAGTAGGAGAATACTCGAGCATATCAAAAGACGAAAACCGGCATAAAGGCCTTCAATGCCGGCCTAGCTCTCAACTACCCTTCCTAAACAAAAAGAGTACCGGTAAACTCAGATTCGGCAATTGAGGTGCCAAATGCCTTGGTACAAGGTGCTCTGACGTGCATGAAGGAACGGCTCTAGCTCCAAATTCTTACCTGGTACAAGACAAGGATATCCTTCACTTTTTGCATCAAAGCTACTTGGGCTGGGTATTCCGTGCGCTACAATGGTATTCCGTGTCCGTGACTTAGTCAAGTGTTCCCAAAGCAGTAAACGCCGTCATTGAGGCTGGGACCGCTGGAGGCAAGTTGTGACGAAGAATCGGTGAGGACTGTGGTCTATTGCGGTCTCGAATCCAGCTACTCTGGGCCATCAATACGGATCGCTACAATGAGAGCTGATGTCGTTGCATGCCGAACCTTTGATTTTATGACCCATGTCACATCCCGAAAGCTGCACCTCGTCATATAGACCATAAAGTGGCAATCTTGCAATCCTTCACAACAACTTTCGGTTACCATGAAGGCGAAAGTGCCGACAGCTCGCCTCTCTTTATCTCCTCGGTCATTGTCAACAAGTTCTCTAGGGCGTGCTTATGTTCCTCCATCACACTCGGCGTCTTAGTAGAGTCCGATCATGACTTATTCTTGATAATCATTGCGAACATTGCCGACCTGTCGTTGAAATCTCTGGTCAAGATAACTCCGAGGCAGTAGCAACGTATATATGATTACTGAACCCGAGGCATTCCTAGATACTTAGCAGCGCGAAGGAAGAATCCCGAGGCATTCCTAGAAACTTGGCAGCGCGAAGGAAGAATCACGAGACTTTCCTTTACGGCATCCTTCACGGCATCCTTTAAGTCATCCTTTGGACTGGATAAGCTAACCTATCAAGGAAGGCTAACAGAATGTCTTCAGGTTGAATTTAGATCTCGATCAGCCTTGATGAACATCTATGAGTCACAATCAATGGGTCTGCTTTGGCTGAGGGAGTTGGCAGCCATCGAGCAGAACATAAATGAAGGTCTCCCCTCGAATTTGACAACCAGCAACGTATTTACTCAAGCTACTCTTGACAATCAATCAATACTCGCACACCACCATGTACTTCTCCCGATCTGCCCTTGTGGGCATTATGAGTCTGCTGTCATACGGGCTCACCGCCCCAACTGAAAGTCTCCTTCAACGTGATGCAACACACAACGGTCGAGCTACTACTTACAGCCTTAATGGTTATGGATATTGTGGACGTGTGTACGACCCCAGTACGTCTTCTCCAGCTCATCCCCGTTGGCATACATTCCATCATCAACCAGCAACAAACTCTCCCCTCACCCTGACTCCCAATCTTCCCCTACCCCCGACAGACAACGGCTCATTCACTTCTATCAGGCAAATCCTACGTCGCGGTCTCCCCTCCTACCTCGGTAGCGGCTCGAGCAGCGTGCGATGCACGCAGAAACTCTTCATTAAAAATCCTGCCACAGGAAACACCATCCAAGTTCCTGTGGCCGATAAATGCAACAGTTGCGTGACCAATGATATCGCTGTCAGCCCAAGCGTCTATAGTGCCTTGACTAACGGGGCTGCTCCGGGCAGGATCTCTGTGCAATGGTATGTTTGGAAGCCCGAGTCCGCGTTAGAGATCTCGGCTGATGTGGAATACGTGTTTAGGCATTTCTGCGATGGAGCTGGTGGCGCGTGCTGAAGTGGTTCGTGGAGAGGATAGAGGGCAAAGGAACCGCAGCAGTATTCATGGCTAGATTGGATAGTAAGATTGAGCGAGGCATCGAAGATACGCTTTAAGGTGACTTTAAGTGTTGGAGAAGGCAATCTTGATGTGTCGCGTGGAGCCATTTTTTCGTAGTTGGCTCGCTTTCTAGAGTTTATGATATCGTGATTGCGTGAGATAACCCGC